ATTTAACGTCTAGAAACTTACCCCAGCAATCATCAAAATCCTTCAAAAAATCCCTAGAATCCAGAACAGTAATAGGTTACAGTTACACATTGATGGAGAAGGGCTATAGACTCTTCCGAGTGCTTTATATGGATTAACTCTTTGAATCCTCCTAATAACCACGCGGCGTCTTTACTGCTTGCTCCATTTTATGGATAGAAAACAGGCACAGAGAGGTTAAGTAATCTGCCCATGATTGCCCAATCCTTTTGGCTCTAGAGTCTGTACTGAACTACTATAATGTATTCTGAACACTTGTAAAGTCTTCATGTAAAGTGTCATGGATAAATCTTCTGGTAGAGTTTAAGCAAGAAGGTAAGCTAAAGAATGTGCCTGAGGGACTTGTAGTATTTGATTTGGCATAGCCCTGGAGTTAATAATCGGGGCTCATGAAGACTTATGAGACTCTCATGGGTCTATGGATTCCCCACATTTTATAAAATTAGTGTATATATGCCTATATGTTTTTCTGGATTAGAGGCTTGTAGCTTTTATTAAATTTAGGGCCTCATAAGTTAAGAATCACTGTTCCAAGGGAAATGAGAAGAACAGATGTACAGGTTAATATAAAACTTTGTATTCTCAAGAAAGTAAAAAAGGAATACTTGCTAAGAAGGGAGCTTCATATTTAGGATGAGTTTAGCAATCCATTCCACAAATGTTTTTTTGCCTATATTCTGTGTGCTAGGCACTGTTCCAGATAGACAGTATAAAATCCATGATGTTTGAGTTTAGGTACTTGTGGAAGCAGACTCTGAGAAAAGCATTTGAATGCACGTAGTTCATGTGAGAGAGTATCTCAGGAAACGTAACAGGACAGTGGGGAAGTGAGACAGGGAAGGAAAGAAAGCCAATAAACATCGTGTTATCAGCCAAGTTACCAGTACAGGCAACTGGAGTTGGAATCTACTGAGGATCTCGGGACACATGGTAGAAACAATTCTCAGAGTTAACTCAGGCAAGGAATATGGAAGCCAGGGTTATTTGTCTTTCAACTTCCATAAGTCTTTGGTTGAGCTGTCTTCCAATAGGGAGAAAGCTATTAGTTCAAGAGTATTGGACAAAAAGCCAAACTGGCTTTTACTTCCTGCATTTAACAAGATATTTCAAGTGGCTGAGCTCAAGCAAGAATTGTCCAGTTTAAGAGAAGAGATGAAAAGGAATAACTTGGAGTTCTTTGAGATGAGAAATACTCACTTTCTAGGCTTTGGGTTGTACAAAAAATGATATTAAAACAGGTTTTTGAAGAGCAAATCTCATTAAGATGTCTCATTTCAACAGAGGAACACCTAGCTCAGCCAAAATCAGATTAAGGGTGTTGCCTTCTTATTCAACCTTATTTATTTGTGTTCTCATCTCAGTTGTCATTAGATTGTAAGAGAGAAGCCTTGTGGTGGGAAAGCAACAACAAGAAAAAACCTTACAAAAATCAGATTTTAAAATTGTACATTAAAAAAGTAAACAAAGAAAATAAAAGAAAAATAAATGACATCATTTAGAGTGATTAATGGTACACAGAACTGACAAGAAGCAAATAAAACAAAGGTCATCAGAGTGTTTGAGTGGGCTGAATTTTCCAAGAGACACTGAGACCTGCCTGAAAAGCCCGTGACTGTCAAGCAACCTAGAGACCTCTAAACTTTTACCACCAGGAAGCAGGCTGGGAAAGTTCTATGGTCCTCAAAGAGAGCATCCTCTTCAATTCCCATTGCAAACCTGATCACAGAGGGTGAAATACAGGTAGAACCTCCCAGAGGGCAGAATAGAGGCTAACTGGGAAAAAACAAGGTGTCCTCAGGAAGAACAAAGTCAAAGTCTAATCATGGATTTCTCTTCTAATGAGAGGACATTTGATAATAGCCTTCTCTGATAATTTTTGTTTGTTTTCGGTAACTGCTGTGTTTCATTTCTCTTCTTTAGTAGATTGTAGTTACAGTGTGGCTATATCATCTCTGCTCCATATTTGGGTGTGTACATAGGAATGGTGGCAAAGACTACTAATATTTTTCAAGTTTTTGGTCATAAGACAATTAGGGTCCACATTGGGCTCTGATGGAAAAGCCTACATGTCACTATGGTGTTCTGGAATTTTAGCTGGATGCAGCAAGTCAGATCCTCTTTGGGGAGGAAGAGTTTTAGTTTGTTTCCTAAATAGAGAAACAAGTACAAATGTTGATTAGAACAACATAATTTGGCTGGGACAATTAGGTACATGCCAGAATCTCTGTGTTAATTTGATTCCTGTGAGAACCACACACCAAGATGTGAGTAGATGTGCAAGAGATGTATTGGGAAGAAATACCAGTAGAGGATAAAGCAGAGGAAACCAGAGTAGGTGGACAGAGCCTGTAGATTTGGCCCCTATGAAGGAGAAGAGGAAGAAAGCAGGATTAGATAGGAAGAAACTTAGAATGCAGTGCAGTTCTAAGAAAGATTTGGCCAGGCCAAGAGGGAGTTCTCAAGCCAAAGTCCTTTGTAGGAGGAGTTCTGTGTCTCACAGGAATAGACCTGCCATCATATCTTAACAGACTCAGTCACTGGCTAAGAGCAGCCTATCCAAAGTATTGCTTCAGTGTACATGCAGTGGTGGATTCAGAGAGACAGCATATGGGGACAATAGTATATTTTGGTCTCCACTGTAGGAGGCCTGAGCAGTGAATTTTCATGGCTGCCACAGTCTATTTCTTCTTAGTGAACATATACAGCTGGACTCTCTTCCTCTGCCCTCTTTGTTGTTGGGTATGACAACTGAGTTCTTACCAATAGAATGTGAATGCAATAGAGGCACAAATTCCAGATGTGGTCAATAAGAATTTACCCTTCAAGGTAATTCGTTTTCTCTTCCATATGTTTAGAATAGAGACTTCTTCCAGGACAACCTTGAAAACCTATATAGTAGATGATGCAACATCTGCTATCACAGACAGTACCACATGGAGCAGAGCTGATTTTGAGTGAGAAATAAATTTTTCTTATTCAGATGATTCTACATCTTGTCTACTTGATACCGTAAGCTAGTGTACCCTAGGTTAGATATTCTTTCCACTCAAAGAGTTTTGAAACATTTCTAATATCATTATTACCTGCAGAGAATGCTGCTGTCATCCTGACCAGATCAGAGACCTTCCTTCACCGTGTTGATTGATCATGAATACTTTTTCTTTGGTGAAGGTGGACTCCAAATTATTATCAGTGCACATGTATATTATTGTAGTTCATGTGTCTAATTATGTGTTTGGGGAATACTGCACATCGATCAGACTCATAAATTCAGCATGCAGAGGTTAGGTAGGTACAGGGGTAAAACAAATATATGCCCAGCAGTGTCAGCAATTCAAAAATGCTTCAAATGGCTGGCTGCCAGGCCCATGCTGGTCACTTTGAGGGACATGGGCAGAGAAGCATAAGGGTAAGTGCTGGGCTGGTAAGCTCTGCCAAGCTGAGCCTGCCAGTTGTGCTTTGGGATTTGCCAAGTTTCAAATTGTTTTACAAAAATGGTTGGGTCTAGTTGAATAACTCAAAATGAAAATAGAAAGACCTGATCTTTTTCATAGAGTACTTGTAACAAATCAATAAAATGATATTTGTTGTTAATACTGGACCATAATTAATCATGTTACACTTACTTAAAAATATTTATTGAGTTTCTACTATGTGCAAGGCACATTTCTGGGTACTGGCAAGAGAGCAGTGAAGGAAGCAGAATAAAATCCCTATTTAGTTCCATTCAGAATTGAAATCTGAGTGGGTTGTAATAACAGTGATGATTATTTTTTTTTGAACCATTAAATAAGGTGGACTCTCCTTGACTTAAGATTTGGAAGTTCAGAATAGGTAAAAACAGGAATGGAGCAAAATTAAAGACAGCTTTCTGGGAATGCCTTGCAGTATAGGAGTTTCGGTTATCTGCCTTGGAGCTGAGGAACAATCTGAGCCATTGAGAAGCATAGTCATGGAACCAAGACTTCATTATGCCTCATAAGGTATAATTTTTGAAAAGAGCAAATAAAATTTAAGAAAGAACTAAGATATATGAAGAAAAAACACATACTGGTATTTTTAAAAATGCCTTTAAAATTTGGCTTGAAACAAATCAGAACATGCAAAGGAAAAAATTGCATTAAAAACAGACTGTTAAGTATGGTGAAAATAACTTGTAGAAAATCTAATGAAAACATTACAAAACAGATTACCAGAAAATTTATAATAGAAGTACATTTTAAAATCCATAGATATGCACAGATTAAACTTCAAATGTGTGCCCCAATTCATAAATTCAGTTTTCATGTAATATAACTATTAGCATGACTCTTGAAAATTTACCTGTAAATATTACTTGTGTCATCACTGTGAGATCAAACTCCTCATAAATGGAAATCCTGCCAATTTAATCAAGCATTTGAAGATACACATGGCCCATGTATGTTTCTGATTCACTTCACACATTTGCAAACCTGATTCTTAACACTTTGCTGTATGAATAAATCTAATTCATACAGAAATTTAAAAATGAGCTTTATGCCTTTCCCTTAGATACGCTGTAAGTGACACAAGGAACAGCAAACTGCTCTTTTCAGAAGGGCTTGTTTTCACCCAGAACTACTGCACTCCAACTTAATCATTCCAATTTGATTTAGCTTTACCTAAACTTGAAATGTATAAGTAGCACCTGGATAATTCCTCCTGTATCGGTAAGACAGCACTCCATGAAACACCCTGTTAAAGCATAAAAACTACTGATAAATGGCAAGCTTTGGTGCGTGCTACCTGTGCTGGCTTACAAGGAACTCCAAACAATACTAAAAGTAGTGAGAGCATGAACAACATTTGTCACTCAGATTGAATTTACTCTTCTGTAATTTGGTCTGGAAAAAAAAATAGTGATGGAAATTCTACAGAGACAGATTAATTCAGGGGTCAAACAATAACAAAATAGGGAAGAGAAGTTAATGAATCTTTACCATGTGAGGCAATGCACAGAAGGTCCTGGAGAATCCATAAGCCTAGTGAGAAAAGCATGAGCAGTCTGTTAATGACACGAGGGCTTTGAAAATAAATTTATCTTGTATACTCAGCTGTTTGGGGAGTACATCATTTATAAGGCATTCTTCTCATTAATATTTTCCATTCCATAGACGCTTTTGACAAACTATATACTTTTTCACCACACTAATTTTAAGTTTAAAATGAACATCTGGTAACTGCATTTATTCCTATGGTTTGCAGCCACTTACATCCTCTGATTTTCTTCTCATGCATTTCTAAATAGCCAAAGGAAGAAACAGAATTTGAGTACTGTAAGTATAAAGTTATCAAAAGCTTATTGCTCACATTAGAGAGATGATAACTCTTTCCTTCAATCATTCAGTTGATCAATTATTCAATCAGCACATATTGTGCTGATCATACCTTTAGTCCAAAGACAACTTGCTTATCTTATTCCAGTCTCAGGTGACTCTTCTGTATGTCCCCAGAGCATTGTTTATTGTTTTGTTGGAAGTTCACTTAAAAGCAAAGGCTGAAATAAGATTTGATGCAGGCCGGGTGCGGTGGCTCAAGCCTGTAATCCCAGCACGTTGGGAGGCCGAGGCAGGTGGATCACAAGGTCAAGAGATCGAGACCATCCTAGTCAACATGGTGAAACCCCGTCTCTACTAAAAATAGAAAAAATTAGCTGGGCATGGTGGTGCGTGCCTGTAGTCCCAGCTACTCAGGAGGCTGAGGCAGGAGAATTGCCTGAACCCAGGAGGCGAAGGTTGCGGTGAGCCGAGATCACACCATTGCACTCCAGCCTGGGTAACAAAAGTGAAACTCCGTCTCAAAAAAAGAAAAAAAAAAATATTTGATGCAGCGAGTTTATTTATGAAGAAGGAAAGAAAAAAGATAGTGGCACACAGAAGAAAGAAAAGCTCGTGTAAGTGTGCATTACTGATATTGCCACAGAAGGCAACGGGAGCTTCATTCTTTTGAGTCTCTGAGAAGCCTGCAGAATTGTCCTAGAATCTGGACATTTTGTTGCTTAGGCTAGTCTTGAACTCCACTGGAAGAATGGAGAACGAAGCTGTATAAGCTTCTGCTTCTTGGGAGGCTTCAGGAAACTTACAATAATGGTAGAAGCCAAAGGGGAAGCAAGCATATCTCCATATGGTTGGCAGGGGAGAGAGAGAGAGAGGGAGAGAAAGGTAGAGAGAAACGGAGAGAGAGAGAGAGAGAGAGAGAGAGAGGGAGAGAGGAGAGAGAGAGAGAGAGAAGTTGGGAAATGCCACACAATTTCAAACAACCAGATCTTGTGAGAACTCATTCACTATCATGATAACAGGAAGGGGGAAATCTGCCCCCATGATCCAGTCACCTCCCAACAGTTTCTGCCCCTAACATTGGTGATAACAGTCCAACATGAGATTTGGGTGGGGACAGAGAGCCAAACCATATCACTCTGTCATCCAGGCTGGAGTGCAATGGTGTGACCACAGCTCACAGCAGTCTAGACTTCCTGACCCCAGCAATCCTCCTGCTTCAGCCTCCCATGTAGCTGGGACCATTGGCATGCACCACTATACCCAGCTAATTTTTTGATTTTTTTTGTAGTGATGGTGTCTCATTTTGTTGTGTAGGCTAGTCTTGAACTCCTGGCCTCAAAAAGTCCTCCTGCCACTGCCTTCCAGATGGACCACACCAATGTTTATTAATGTGATGGCCAACTTCCTGTTCCTTTTATTCTTTTCTGGTTCAATGTTTTGACTGAACATTTCTGAGACAAAGATATCTTGTGTTTTAATAAAGGTTTGTGTAATGCATTTCTATAGCTTCAGACTACCTTTTTGGAGCCCATCTATTTTGAATATGTGAAGATCTCTATTGCACTTAGCAGAGAGTGTATTAAAAACTCTGCTACTTTATACATCTCACATCAAGTACATAGCTGGCTCTAAGCAAACTCTATGCAATTTTTGAAAAACTTGTTTTATCTCCAAACTTTTGAATCATGTTGAAAAAATTAGCAGCATTATCAAAATGTTAATTTATGTGTTACCATTTGAAAAACTGCCGGCATTGTAAAGTCTTCGGATATCTTCCTTTTTAAAGTTTATCTATCTCTTGCAAGAAACTGAATGTATTTGTTAATACACCTAAAGCTAAGGGTCTATTCTCTGCCTGTTAGTCATTTGCAAGTTTTTGGAGGGTTTGTTTGTTATTCACTTTGTTTTTTAAAGTAAATTAAGCTTGCTTTTTATTTTGTCAGAAGCTGATATCACAGCTTGAATGTTTTACTCCAGTCAAATTGTTCTTTTAAAGTAAGGTTTTTCCTTAACCCACAGACTGGTTGACTCTGACCTGCAGCCCTGTGTTTCTTCTTTATTCCCTTCTCTGGATGTTCCAGGGTCACCCTAGCTATGTCATGGATTAGGCAAAAATAACTTAATAGATAAAGCAACTTGTACTTGCATTTATATAATAACTTAGTCCAATGGCTCCAAAAGGAGCTATTTATGGGAAAACTATGGCATCTTTCCTGTCTCAATACCTATCTCATCTTCATGAGGAAGGCAACCTGTGTATTGATACAGAATGTAGGTCTGACAGGCAAATCTTGTGACTTTGCAGCAGATTTTTCCATTTTTTTGAGATCCAGTTTTCATGAAGATACAAAAATAATAAAAAGTACTGAAATGATAGGATGTTTGCACTGATTTTAAAAATCACATCTGAGTTCTAGGCTTAGTTAGATTTCAAAAATGTGATCTATAAATATTACTATTATCATCATCTCAAACATTGACCTGGAGCATGGTTCTTTCTAACTTTGAGGAGAGTAACATACAATAGGTCCTTGAGGTCAAATACAAATTTTAACTTGATGGATTTCTGGGGTGGCTCTCTAAAGCAAGAGATTTATCTCATCTTAGTTTCAGTTTTCTCAACTTTAAAATGGTAAAATTAACATCTCACATGGCTATTTCAAATAATAAAGAAGATAATATGATCAAATAATACAGTACTTGAGTACCCTAGGAAAAGTTTTATTTTGATTGTTATATAGCAGTTGCTACTATCTTCCAGTAATACACAATTAGGAAGATTCAGAACATTCAGAGTGTCATTTAAAATTATAAAAGAATTCAGATGCATACACTCACAAGATTAAATTTAAAAATACAAGTTACAATTTGGATAATAATAACTCACTTGTGTTGTTTTCCTTCATGAAAAAAGAGAAACACAATTATTAATAATACTAGTTGAAAAGAACAAAACAAAATCCTGTCCATTAATTGCCTTAACATGGGCAAACTTTTAAGCTTCATTTCTTCTCTTTCCCTGTGGGAAAAAAGAAATAATAGAAATAAAATAAGTTTGTGTGTGGGTAATATATTTTAAGTAAGAGGCCCTTAGAAGAGGCTGCAGTATTTGTTTCCTTATTGGAATGACTGAATTGTAAATCCAATAAATCCAATGGTAATGAGATAAATTGTTCATTTGCTTGCTTAATGCACTAAAAGCCATCTATAAAACAGAGGAGTCTCCTATTACTGTGACTTATTGTAAGGGTCATTACCTCTGAGGTATACTGTCATGGTGAGGGAGGTAAGATTCTGCAACGGAAAAATACTTTTGCTGGGTTCTTCAGTCCCTTCTTTTCTTTGAAAAAAAAAAATAATAATTCATCTGAGTTAGCACATATTGCACATTATATTTGTTTTTAAATTTTTCAATATTGTGTCAGTCATCCTAGTTCATTTATAAACATTTTCTTAAAAGTTTGGAATGGTATTTTAGCAACAAGTTAACTTTAATTAGTTGTAAAAATAAAAGGTTGAAAGGCATTTTACAATGCTTTTAGTTATTTTATAAAAGACCTATGTTAAAACATTTTCATCTGGAATCATATTTAACTCTCACCTTAGGTCTAAGATTTAGGTTTCTTTATGATACTTATTGTAGATAGAAATATAATGAGAGTTAAGGAATTTAAGCCACTTGCCTGAGGTCTCTATCTGAGAAGGGGTAATATCAGCATACAAATAGAGGCTTGGTTACCTCCAGAGTTTTTAAAATCTTACACTGTGTGGTCACTATTTTAGGAAATGTTATTTCAAAGATTTGCTTATTTAAAAATAAATATAAGGAAGTTTATATTTTTTATTACAAAATGTAAACATTGTCCAGAACTTATTAGCAACTGAAATTCTCTTGTGCAAGAATATAAAAAAATAGGTCCTCAGGTGTATCTTTGTAAATTGGGTTTCATTCAAAATCATGTTATCACTGAATGTGTAAACTTTTGGGAAGATGAGAGACAATGAAGATACTTCCACTCAAGCACCATAGCAAATGGCGATCCAGAAATTATAAAAGACCTACAAAAACAAACAAAAACAAAAAAACCCAAAACATAGAACAGAAATTTCTATTTTTTAAAAAATTGGAGTTTTATTGAGTATCAGAAGAGTAAAACATTGAAACTGAAAAACCGTTATTTAATTATCAATCTATCTTCAGACAAAAGCTTTTCCAAGTCCAAATGGCTCCTAAATTCACCTCTCCTTTACTAGGAACACAGAGTCAATTATAGAAAAGAATAGAGAGATCAGACCATCCTGTTGATGAATGCCAAAGGTTCTCTGAGACTGAACCATTTCTACAAAGGGGATTGGCTTCTTCAGATAATTTTCTCAAATGGAGTGTTGTTGTTGTCTTAATTTTCACATGTACTCCATTATGAGGTTTCTTTATTTATGTGAGTCGTCGATATGTTTTTCACTGGCTCCTAGTTAGCTCCTAAGTGCAAGCTGGTTTCACTGAAATATTGATTTTAATCCATAAAGTCCTCTATGGTCTGGGTACTGTCTGCATTTACTAATGTTACTACTTCATAGAAGCTAAAGTGAACTGAGAGCTGTTCACCTTTTCTATCTAATCGATGTATGTATGTATGTATGTATGTATCTATCTATCTTTTATATATGTCTATACATCTGCATACCATAGGGGCAAAGGCAGA